GCTCACTGTCTTTCCTCCTTTACTGAAAAGGTCACCTTGCAATGAGGCTTTTCAAACCACCTTACTAGTGTTTTAAATTTCAACAATCACCCCGATCTCCACATACTCATTCCCTGCTGTAAACGTCCCTATATAATTGATCATATCTTTTCATATCATATTTTTTCTCTTTTAGTGACTTCCTATCTGTCTCCCCTGACCAGAATATAAGATCCATGAACACATATTTCTGTCTATTTTCTTGTGTGCTGTACTCCGTCTACAACAGTGGCTGGCATAGAGTAGCTACTCAGTAATATTTTTTAATGAATAAATTTAAGAACTTTTTAAAGTGTTAAGGCCTGTATAAATGATAGTTTTTTGTCCTCCCAAGACAGAGTTTCTCCCAGGCTCCCACAACCCCCTAATCACACTGTTGCAATTGAGTGTCCTCCAAGATAAGAGTTCCTGAAGGCCAAGAACAGAGAGGTCCTCACAGTGAGCGTTTCTAGAACAACCTACCTGGGGCTGGAGAGCAAGAACCAAATGGGGAGAGGCTGGAGGTGGCAGACGTTGGCAGCAGGGGGGACTTAGTGCTGTGTCCTCCCCGCCCCCCCAGTGCACTCCCTGGAGGAAGAATGCCTGCTGCTCTGTCAGCACCAGCCAGGAGCTGCACAAGGACACCTCCCTCCTGTATAACTTCAACTGGGACCACTGTGGCAAGATGGAGCCCGCCTGCAAGCGCCACTTCATCCAGGACACCTGTCTCTATGAGTGCTCCCCCAACCTGGGGCCCTGGATCCAGCAGGTACAGGGGTGTCCTCACCCCACCCCACCCCACCCCAGCAGGCTGCCCTCCAGCTCAGTCAAACAGGCCTGGCTGAGGAACCTTCTCATTTTACCTCCCACCCAGGTGAACGACAGCTGGCGCAGAGAGCGTTTCCGGAACGTGCCCCTGTGCAAAGAGGACTGTGAGAGCTGGTGGGAAGACTGCCGCACCTCCTACACCTGCAAGAGTGACTGGCACAAGGGCTGGAACTGGACCTCAGGTGAGGGCTGGATCGGTGGGGAGATGGAGGTGGGGTTTGGGCAAAGGCAGTTTGAGGATTGGGATTGCCTGAACATCTCTCAGGTAAGCAGGGCTGGATGTCCGTGTCTATCCTCTCTCCCCCTGCAGGATCTAACAAGTGTCCAGCTGAGGCCGTCTGTCGCACATTTGAGTCCTACTTCCCCACTCCTGCAGCCCTGTGTGAGGGCCTCTGGAGTCACTCCTACCAGGTCAGCCAATACAGCCGAGGGAGTGGCCGCTGCATCCAGATGTGGTTTGAGCCGGCCCAGGGCAACCCCAATGAAGAGGTGGCGAGGTTCTATGCCTTGGCCATGCTCCATGGGATTGGGCCTCTCCTGCTCAGCCTGGGTCTGATGCTGCAACTCTGGCTACTTGACTGAACTGCTTCCACTACTGATCCCTGGACATTTTCCTTACCTGCACCCACCCTGGGTGACCTGGGCTCAGTCCAGCTCAGCTCTCTCAATTAGCAGACTTCACAATGCCCTGGTTCTTATGCTGTGACAGTCTATTCAAATAGAGAGATCCACATGTGTCTTGTGTCTTGTAAATAATTTGGGGATGAGTGGGTTGTGGAGGGTGGGGTGAGTCAGTCCTGGGGTAGAGGGGGTGGTAGGGGGACATGCCTCATTGATTCATCATTCCTGTTGAGAGAACCAAAGAAGAACTGGGACTAGCTTGAAATTCACCAGCAAGTAGGGAGTATAAATCAATCCCTTAGTCTGGGGCTAAGTTCATCATTCTTGCATCACAAGGGGACCAGGGGATTGGTGGAGGGAAGGTGGGCAGAAATTGATGGATGACCTTATCAGGCTTCTGGTGGGAAACAAGTTTCTTTCCCCTTCCTTCTCTTACCAGATGTGGTGTGGGATGGAAATATTGGTGGAGGGGTCTCAATGATGAACACCTGCATTATTTCCTTTTTAAAAAAAATGACAAATAGCCCAGCCGGTGTTGCTCAATGGTTGAGCATAGACCTATGAGCCAGTAGATCATGGTTAGATTCCCTGTTGTCAGGGGTCAGGGCACATGCCCCAGTTGCAGGCTGGATCCCCAGTAGTGGGTGTGCAGGAGGCAGCTGATCCATGATTCTCCCTCATCATTGACATTTCTATCTCTCTCTCCCTCTTGCTTCCTCTCTGAAATCAATAAAAATATATTTTTTAAAATGACAAATAATGTTACAATGAATAATCTTGTACATAGTAGAATATTATACTTGAATTCCAGAAGAGGAGTATGTGGATTTCCAATTTTCTAATATGGATTTTAACTTTACAGGGGCTGTGTCAATGTAGCCCCCACCAGCAAAATATGAGTGTCCATTTCCTCATAGCCTTGTCAACACAGTATGGCATCAAACTTTTTATTTTCTGCTAAGTTGATAGGTGTAGTTGTCCTATGCCATGTGCCTTACCATGAGAACACGGTTTCTGAAATATTTCCATATTAATCTGTTGAGATCTAGCTCATACTTTTTAATTGCTGTACAATATTCTATTCTATGTATATGTTACCTTTAATTCTGTCACCTACTGATGGATAATTCAGCAAGGGAGGTTCTTTTGTGACACTGACAATTTTGCAAAGCACAGGCCAGTTATTTATTTATTTTATTGTTTATTGATTTCAGAGAGGAAGGGAGAGGGAGAGAGATAGAAACATCAATGATGAGAGAGAATCATTGATTGGCTGCCTCCTGCACACCCCCTACTGGGGATCGAGCCTGCAACCCAGGCATATGCCCTTGACTGGAATCAAACCCGGGACCCTTCAGTCCATAGGTCGATGCTCTATCCACTGAGCAAACTGGCTGGGGCCGGGCCAGTTATTTCGTAGAATATCCCTCATTTTGAATTTATCTGTTTCTTCATCACTAGATTGAGGCTGAGCATTTTGGATACAAATATCCCCAAAGCAATAAATACTCTGTCCTTCTTGGTGCATCATAACAGGAGCCACATGGTGTCAGGGTTGCCCATCTGATGATGTTAACTGATCTTTTAGTTAATATTGCATCTTCCAGGTTTCTTTACTACTCCCCCCCCTTTATAATTAATATGTATGTTGTAGGGAGATACTCTGAGAACTGCAGATATCCTCTTCATCAGTACACTTTCAGCCATCAGTTCTACTATGCAATGGACATTTTTTTAAAAAGTAAAAACAAACACCTAAAAGGTCTTGTTATATGACAGCTCCTCACCAACCCTTTAATGCTTTCCGATAGTATCTGCTGTAAAAACCAAACTTCTCTAATGGCATAGGAGGCCTTGGCCATCCCTCTACTTAGGTTACATGTCAAATTATTTCCCCTTCTACCTCCGTATATGAGCTCCATTCACACTTTTCATTTGGGGCCTTAACTTCAGCAATTCCCTCCTTGTGTTCCTAGAAGGTTCTTTTATCCTCTGCAGCCTTTTCCCCTCTAGTCAGTTAGATTTCAACCTATAGTTTCCTCCTAAAATGACTTCTGAACACCTTTAAGCTCCTCCACCCCAGGCATGAGGTTTGGCCCCTGAGCCAGGGCCCTGGGCTCTCAGGGCTTCAGAAGAGATCGGCAAAGGGACGGTGAGGCACCTTCTTATCACAACCCTTTTTTTTTTATTTTTAAAAAATATTTTTTATTGCCGAAACCGGTTTGGCTCAGTGGACAGAGCATCG